CGGACTCTGGCTATATTCTTTAGATGATAAAATCCAATTTTGGTTACATGTTTAATATGTGGGATAAAACCAAGCTCAGAGTCAAAAATAACACCCAGGTTTTTCACTTGTAGTGAAGGACATAGTGAAAATGCCTGTAATTTAGACAGGAGTTTCTCTCTCTGAGCCTCAAGACCGATGATTAAAACTTCAGTCTTGTCCTGGTTAAGCTGTAAAAAGTTTTCTGCCATCCAAGATCTTATATCTAAAATACAGTTAAAAAGGGCATCCATTGGTCTGGTGTCATCAGGAGACACGGAAATGTACAACATCAGCGTAACTGTGGAAGTTCACTCCATGCCTTCTGATGACATCGCCAAGAGGGAGCATATACAAATTAAAAAGTACAGGGCCTAAAACCGACACTTGGGGCACACCACAAGTCATTTTATGGGCACTTTTGTGTCTGCGATGAGTGCTGGATGTCCGTCAAGTGTGTCCGAGTGGCACATAAAAGTGGATGATGTCACATGGGTAACAAATCTTTGGATGCAATAAATGACAGACATGCCAGGTAAACCCAGGACAGGTTGCCAGTCTGTCAAAGGGCTAATGTATATTCAAATAATTATAAAAACAATTTAGTTATTAAAAAAAACCCTAAAATGTCTTAAACTCTCTGATTAGTGTGACTCAGATTTGGGTTTGTAGCATGAGAAAAAACAAATAACTTGCTCCAGCACTTTTTTCTTCTTCCACTTTTAAAAGTGGAAAAAGGTCATTTTGTGCGCACGGACACGGTTACACCAAAATGCTGTTTGGAAATTTGTGCGTGCGTGAAAAAAAGTGTACAATTTGTGTCTAGGGAAATGAATTAGTAGACTAATAGTCATGACTATTTCATGAACTGCTGTGAGACCGTGTTAAATGTTAACGACAGGAGAATAGAAAACGCTGGGATGAAAGATTCCTCCTCTGAAAAGTTGAGTGAGAAGTGATGAGATGAGCTCTCATCACCAGCGATGATTTTCTCTGGGCAACTTTGGGCCCAATGTGAAACTGCAGAACAGGCCTTATCTTAAAAATAGTGATGCAGAGGTGCACAAGGAAATGAGCCTGAAAGGGAGATTGGTGGATTTACTGAACATCACAACCACCATATGATGGCAGCCTTGGTACAAAAACCTGTCAAAATACCTGTTTGCCCAAACTACCAGTTCCCCCCGACAATCCCAACAGCATTCGATCTAAAATGTGAAAAATTACAACTTGAAAACATCCTGGATGCATGATGGGGGACTGAATCTACAAGTAGCATTCTTTACATAATCTCTCTCACATATTCAGGGCTTGTTTGCCTTAACTGGCCTTAACTGGCCTCTATGGGAGGCATTCCTGAATGTTTTCCTGCAGTCGACGCTGTTTACTCACCTCATCCACTGAGCGAGAAGCATCTATAGTGTGCACCTTGCCTTGTTTCTCATACAGGTCAATGATTGGTCGTGTAGACTGCAGGTAGGTTTGGATTCTGCAATGAAGAAAAAATATGGCATGTTATCGGGGTCAGATGACACAAGGGACTCCAAGCAGACATAAATTAGGTCAAAAACATTTGTGCAGGTATCCACCAGTAAGTTAAATGGGGCAGACAAATGTATAGTGATCAGACATGCATGTTATTCCTATAGAGGGGAAAAAACGAACACAGGAAATGGAGGACTCAGTGGTATATTATTAAATTAAAACAGATTAAAGGTCTGACTCAGTAGAGAACTGCACCTTTTCTCCAGGCTCTCCCTGTTGTCATCTGTTCGTCCACTGCTCTTTCCTCTTTCTAGACATCTGTTGATGCAAACCTGTAGACAGAAGAGTCAAAATCAGTGCAAAATAACTCGCAAAACATCAGCTCAGCACAGCAGAACCACATTTCCACCAAAAGTACTTTTAAGAACTTTTAATTCCAGGATGTTTTTTCCCCACTGAAATCTAAAAACTTAAGATGATTTGCCAGATGTAAGAACATGCTCTTTTTACACTTTAGTTTTGTGGGTGACTACACAACAATTTGACATCACTCTACTTCAGCAGGTGGTAGCAATACAGAAGATGAGAATGAAGCAAATAAATGCTAAATGATTTCTCTGTATCCTCATTTAAACAGCAACCCCTGCTGTGAAATGGACAATAAAAGGCCCATGACTTACCTCATTGCTGCAGTCAAAGAAAAGCACAAATTTAACATCAGCTTTTCCATCCATGACACTATTCCACCCCTGAAGGTTGTCCTCGTTTCGGGGGAAACCATCGATGAGAAACCGGAACTTATTCTCATTTTTCTTCATCGTTGCTTCCATGGCCTAACAAAACGGGAAGAACAAACAGGAAATATTTTGCATTTGAGATTTTTTTTTGCATCTGTAACAGTTCATATCATGATGCTGCCATACTTAAAATTAAAATTAGTCTCTCAGTGCAGCAAACAGACCACAGTCACCCAAGAAAGTGATTCTGAAACACTACCAGTAAACTCTAGCAAAAGTATCTAACATACAACTTAAAATACATTTTTTGTCTCTTTAGTTTAGAAAAACAAAGCATTATAACCTGAATGATAAACAGAAAGAAATCATTCACATTACATTCAAATGACTAAAATGTCAGAATCAAATTCGGGGTTTTGGAGAAAAATGTAAATATTAAAAGTTAAAACTCAGTTTTGTAGAATTTTTTTGTTTGAACAAATAGTGTAAAAGTGTAGTTGAAAACAGGTCTGACCTGCAGCCGACACAAACAAGCAGGATTTTCTTTCTAGGCGAACCAGATTTACAACCTGTATTCAATACACACCTTCCTGAGTAAGTTGATGGTGATCTCCACTGGGACGATTTTGCCCTCTTTGATGTAGTTGGCAATGAGCTGTCCAAACTCTGACTCTTCTCTGGCTCGCTCTTCCCTGAGTAAATCCCCAGCTGACAAATGGGTGTAGCCATAACTCTGAGAAACACACAAATGTCTAAATTGAATCAAGTAACTGTGATGAGAATGGAAAACTATTTTCCGGGTGTGTACATTTCTGTGAACACTGCGACAGCCTTTACAGACAGCATAAATCTTTCTAACTCGCAGGCTGAGCAGAAAAAAAAGAGTCAGTCCTGAATGAAAGCACTGAATGAAAGGAGCCTCTATGCCTCTAGCTGCCACAAGGCCCGATCGCTGCACTTGAAGCATGGCAGCCAACACCCAGCAACATCCGTGAACAAGGGTAGCTATAAAGTCTCTCTCTCAAAGAAGCTGTGTCTGCCAAACACACATCAAAGAATCCACGGCGGCCCCCAGTAGAGCTGCAGCTTCAGGAGCTTCAGACAAACATCAAAGCAGCAGCCTCATTACGAGTCCTGGCTTTGCTTTGCTGACTTTCAGGATGATCTGATGAAATAAATAAAATAACTTTTTGTTCTGGCCCGACTGAACAAATAAATTATGGGTTAAAGAAAACTTCCAGTAATGTACAACAGCTTCTTTCCCCCGATACTTTGACTCTTTTAAAAAAATGTTTTCTTACTACATTCCTGACAACAGATATCACTGACATGTGTTGACGTGTGCCTTGCCTTAGCAGCAGGGTGGGGTGATTAGTTCCTTGTCCAATACCTGTCTGTGTCTATGTCATTATTTGTTTCTGATCGTTCAAAGTCAAGGCTAGTGTGGCCAAGTGCACGCCAGACTCGCACTGACATTACATAACCCCATCTGCACAAATAGGGTAATAACACTGAAGAAAAGCCAACACACTATCTCCTGTTTGTTCTACGAAAACAGGTATTATTTAGCCCATTCATCCAGTCGCAGGACTCCACAAATACCTTATTCTTTGCTGCTCTCACTCAATTGTGAAGAATTATTGTCATCGAGTCTCCTTGAAGAAATAAATATATTAAAATATAGCTCCTGCTTCTCTTTCGGCACTTAATCTGGATATCCTGTGAGGTGAACAAGCTAGCTGCCTGGCTAACGCACAGGTTCGTTTTAGAGGACAACCGGAAGTGACAGAAAACTGGGATACTATCCGATAATAAAAGATGCTACTAAAGTCGCAACAATTAAAAAAGAGAGGCATATCCCCCTGAACCACATTTGCACCACGTCATTCACAACCCTGCTCGATGAAGAGGGCCCTTTTCATTGCCCTTTCTCTCATACCTCCACGATTTTGGAGCACTGGGTTCCTTTGCCGGCGCCAGGCCCGCCCAACACGAACACAACCTGCGGCTTCATCACCAGCGACACCCGGTACAGCAAGCTCGGGACCTTCTGCGACAAGTTACCGAACAAACGGCCGATCATAAACTAGCGCCACCGGCTGCGGGTACGACCCGGCGACGTATGGATATATAATAATAGTATTAATAAGCCGAGCTGGCCGGTGTATGCGTGTCAGTGCGAGTTGATGTCAAACGACACTACTTCCGCTATCGAGCAAATCCACCAATGGCGTTCCACTCTAGCGTGACGCATGCTCGTAGACACGCCCGCGTGCACTTGTTATTTTTTTTTCAATGCAGAGGTCGGGTGACGCCCCTCCCTCCTCTACCTCCACACAGCATCAGCACCTCGAAACCGAACAACTCGACCCTCCGCGGGAAGAGGATGCTCTCCGGCCCGTGAGGCTGCGCAGCAACAACGAGACCGATAGCCTGACGGTATAGTCGCTGTTTCCCTGCCTGCACGTTTATGCCGCCTCGCTGCCTCCATTCATATTGCACCATTCATGCATCCCCAAGAATGGAAACTCGCTGCGAGGAAAGGGAAAAAAAAGAGAAACATTAAAATAACCCTCTGCGGCCCCGGTGGCTCGCTTTCGTAAGACATCATCCTCGCTCGTTTTTTGGTGAAGCTTCCTTTTCATGGCGGGCTTAAAGTGATGAGGACCCCCGATTTTGGCTTGTGAGGGCGCCTCGCGAATGTAGGGCTAGTACGGGAAAAGCCGAGCAAACAAAAGGCATCCAGACCCCCTCCTCCTCTGACGCACCTGGCTGCCCTGTCGCCACTTGACATGACAGCGCAGAGCCGGGAGCAGAGCAGCAGGATCAAGGGGCACCGACGTGCGGCCGGACGTGCGGACTCGACGGGGAACACAGGAGCCTGCGGACGCTCGGCGGAGAGGCAGCAGCAGCAGCCCAGGGGAGGCCGGATTGCAGTTTCTGGGGACGAGCGCCAAGGGCAGTGCGGCAGTCAGCAGGCAGACCGGGGGGAGGAGGCTGCGAAGATCTGCGATACTTCCCCCCAAGTCAACACTGCTGTCTCACCTCCATATCATCCTAAAGATATTATGGTGGAAGTTTTCATTTTTCATCAATGGTGACTGTTGCTTATTCCCCTAGCTTTTTTCTTCTTCTTCTCGCCCCTTTCTTCCTTTATCCAATCAGTGATTATGTGCAATTAAAGGATTAGATCTGCTCTTGAGGCAAGGGTGGAACCCTGAGGGGACTGATGTGCATACTGGCCAGGTATCATCGGCTCCCGTCTTCTCTGGCTTTGCTCATTCTGCTTGTCGCCTGCACTATGGGCTGTATTCAGAGCATCGCATGCAAGCCCCGCATCAGACGGGAGAACATTGTAGTGTATGAGGTGTCCGCCTCTATTGACCAGTGTCCCACCATCATTGAGGAGAACTCACCGATTGTGCTCCGCTACAAGACGCCTTACTTCAGGGCCTCAGCGGGAGTCGTGATGCCACCAGTGCCCCGCAACGAAACCTGGGTGGTGGGCTGGATCCAAGCTTGCACCCAGATGGAGTTCTACAATACCTATGGCGATATTGGCATGTAAGTGTGTAGAAGACGCCATCAAACTTCTCTTGCTTACTGTGGGCCTCTAAGGTTTGCATGTGATTCTCTCACACAGACACATCTAGACCAAAACCCTGGACCTGGCACTGCCACACACACACACACACAAAAACAAAGTCTCTCATCCTCTGCTTCTCTGTGTCCTCCTTTGTCCGCTGCTGCAGGTCCAGCTGGGAGTTACCAGAACTGCGAGAGGGTCGGGTCAAGGCCATCAGTGACTCGGATGGTGTCAGCTACCCCTGGTACGGCAACACCACAGAGACGGTCACCCTCACCGGCCCTACATCCAAACCGTCCCGTCTGACGGTCAGCATGAACGACAACTTCTACCCCAGTGTGACCTGGGCTGTCCCCATCAGCAACAGCAACACACCCATGCTGACCCACATCACCAGGGACCAGAGTTTCATCACCTGGTTGGTGGCCATGAACTCTGTCACAAAGGTAGGCCCGAAACACAGCGATCCTGCCTTTGTTCCCACATCACGATAAGAGGGGAGGGGGGAGAAAAACAGCCGTATATCTTCAGAAACCACTCTCCCATTTCACACTGGCTATGATGTAATCACTTTCTCCTGCACTTTCACAGTCTGGTGTAAAGTTACAAAATATCTCATCATTACCTTCAACTCTCCTGATGTAGCAGCGGCATCAGAAGTCAGTCCAGCACAACATGTGAATCAGGATGTGTTGTCTTTTAAAAGAGATATTTTATTAAATATTGGTCTTGGTCTTAAATGATCATCAGCAAGCACATCGACCATATTAACACGATGGCTCTGTCTCCTCTTCCAGGAGCGTATAGTGTTGCAGACGGTGCGGTGGCGGATGCGGGTGGATATCGCCGTGGATCCAGACATGCCGCTGGGCTCTCGGGCCTCACTGGTGGGCCGCCCCTACCAGGAGCAACCGCACATCCTCAACTACCAAGAACCCATCCCTCCCAACGCGCTGGGGAGGCCGAACGCCAACGATGCCCAAGTGCTAATGTGGAGGCCGCGGAGAGGGGCGCCGCTCGTCGTCATACCGCCAAAATAAGAGAGTGAAATGTTGCACACACAAAAATATGATTGTTCCCTTTTGGAAAAAAAAAAGAAGTGGAGGGGGGGTGTAAATGGATAGGAAAGTAAGCCCGATGGTTGCCCCCCCCTCCACCCCTCTGTGGCTTCTTCTTCCTGAATGATTCAAATGGACTATCGCGATTAGCCGGTACGGATATTACATCTGGGATCTGACGTAGCACAAGAAGTCCACAGCAAACTATTTGTCAAGGACCTGGAGCTGCATCAAAGCTTGTTTGAACCCCCTCACATGCTTTGGACTGGAATATAGAGTTATGCCTGCCTTTTAGCTGAGAAGGAAAAGCTGTTTTTAGATGTATCGCAGAGGTATTAGACCACAACAAGAACTGCATCCTGCATCCTTATGTAGACCCTATTGCATGAGAATGAGAGGAACACACAAAAAAAAAACCCTCTCCTTGGAGAACTTTCGAATAGCATTTGTTTTGTATAACTTGTTACCTGAAGACGTTTTGATTGAAAAGTCAGCCAAAAAGAAAACAAAAAATACAGAGGGCTGGTAAACCTCATCAGTGCCAACAAAGGCCTTCAGCAATCTCAGTATTAAAGGATGTATACAGATCATTTAAAAGAGACAAAGTATTATACAAATCTTTTTAGGTGAAGAATAAACTCGTACATCGACCAGATTGTAACAACAGCACCCACTTGGCATAAAAGTCTGGGAGAAGAGAAAAAAAAACAGCCTGCTGTAGTTTTCACTTGAGTTCTGCTAATACACCAAACTTACGCACCCAGCATAGTTTCTTGCCTCAGTTGTGCAGCTGATGCTGTTTTGTTTTTTTGGGGGGGTTTTTTTGGATGGGTGTCAGATATGTCAGAGGGATGAGCCAAATCTGTTGCTACCTTAAATAAATAATGTCAGCTATGCGTTCAATAAGTGCAGCGTAAATGACTTGGAGCAGTGCCGGACAACAGATTTGAAACAAGAAGGCGATAGCAGTCGGCACATATATCACAGGTGGAGCGAGGCCAAACTGTCCCGAGGCTACATTTGATGTTGCACTACAATCCAGGGAATAGAAATGTACCCGTGATGGTTTTGCCGGTGTGAAACTAAGCCAGACACCATTTTAAAAATGGGTTTTATTTGGATCCGTACCAGCGCTGCTTCTGTGACGTCATACTGATTATTTGTCCGGCAGATTTCTGCAGATAAACACGCAGATGAAGACCGTCACGACGTCGTGGCCACGGCCCGTCCTGGGCCTCCGTCCAGGTCCCTGCCTGCCACTCTGCACAAGTCACATGACTCATCTTCCATCTGTGCTTCTCTTCAGGTTCACGCCTCACCTTCCCATATGCCCGCTCTCTTTCCTCCCCTGGCTGCACACCTCATACACGCAGGCTAGGGCCATACCGAAGTCACAAATCCTTTCTGAGATCCACAACTATGCAAACATTGTCTGTGTCTGGAATAAAACTGCTGGAAACACTGCAAAATGAACAGGAAAATAGGCTAAATGAGTTCTCCCACCAACGCCCTCCCATCTTATTTTATGCTGCTTTTATTTGCTGGGATCAATGTTGAATAAAAATGATTGTTGCTACCAATTAAAAAGTACACAGAGGTGAAAATAGGTCATATTAATTCAGTGTATCTTCATTGGTCACAGCACCTCGGCTCTTTCAGCCATCTGTTGCTATAGAGACCGGTTTGGTTTTCCTGAGTGCACTGCAACTGGAACTGAAAAAAAAGAAAACGAAAGAAAACGAAAAGAACTGTTCAAAATATTCATGGGTGTGCCGACATCTGTGTGCGAGGATTAGAGAGAGTGTATGTGTGGGGGCGCTCACACACACACACACACACACGCAGGTAGACTTTGATGTAAGATGAGATCAAGGCAGCGCTGGTTGTTTCAGCATAAAAAAAGAGTTTAATTTATTCATTTGTTGTTACATAAAAAGCTTTTCTTTTTGTTTTTCTGAATTTAAATAACCCTAAAACGAGCGCTTTTGATCTACATGTTCAGGCTGTGAGTAGCAAGGTCAAAGCAGTCGTTTCAGTTTTATGTGAAATTTCATCTTTTATTTTTTTTTTAAAAAAAAGGGAAAAAAGGACATTCAGCATCTTTGGACAGAGGTAACCCCTCCTCTTTGCAGCAAGTTTACTCCTCCTTCCACCACTAGATGGAAGTGCTGTCAAGGATTCGCCTCCCGTTTGCTTTGTAAAAGAATACACAGTATTTCTTATCGCAGTTCTTTCGTTCCCAAACAATGTTTTTATTATTACTTAGAAAACCTCCCACTAATGTCAAAGAAAGAAAACACACAAACAAAAACCACACAAGCTCCTCGTACTGATAATACAAACAGCTCTTTTGCCCTTTCAGAAAAAATGTTCAAGTATAGGAAATAAAAATGTTTTTGCCCCTTCGAAACATATGACAAACTGAACACCACATGGACGGCAAGAACTGGTTATTTAAACAGACTAAACGACTGACTTATAGAAAGTTTACGAAAGGTCCCAAAGTGCCCAAATGTTTTTTCTTTGTGATTTACAATATATGCTTTGGTTTGTTTGTTTGTTTCTGAACGAAAAGGTTATCTGTCTTATCCAGCATGTAACATCTGGTTTATGACTGAGGTTCTTTATTGTTTGCCATATCTATGTTGTTCTGTATGAAACAAAAAAAACAACAAAAAAAGATGAAGTCGGTCTGACCGCTTCGCAACATGTTTTAATTTTTCTACACACCGTGTTTTGCAGTGTCTGGAATATGTTAAATGTAATCTTAAGC